TACCAGCCTTACATCATTCCAGAGTTGAGAACAAGTCTTACACATACCGGCCACATACACACCTGCAATGGACTATGATAGGATTGTTTCCCAGTTCTCCTCTGAATGGCAGACATCTCATTTATCACACTGGTGATAGTGGCCAGGTGAGAGCAGCTGCCATCAGGACTCCAGTTAGTCATGTGCAACTGAACCACCTGGTGGGCACTGCCTGCCTGTTGCACACAAGGAAAGGTAATTAGAGAATAGCGATGTTGGGTAGAGTTACCTTCTCATTGACGACAACAAGTGTGCGCATTACGAAACCTTTAACAGGCTTTTCTTCCATGAGGTCAACAGTATATTCTCGGAACTGAGCCATTCCTCCGCGCACAGGCCAGTATTGATAACATGTCTCCTGCATTTATTATAGCATGGAACATGTTACGTCAGAATAATACACTTTACAGATTATACCTGTCCATCTTCCAACAAGTCACAGAGCATAACAATGACTCCACACTTCCTGTCATGGACCATCTTCCAGAAATCTCTGGCTGTGGACTCCATGGGACTCTGAGCTATGATGAATGCTCTCTTTTGCTTGTAACCCTGTAAAAGCAAAAGTAAACCATGCCGCTACAGAAACCAAACCATTATGCTACTTTTGTACATTAACAAACGTTGCATGGATGTAGTCTTGCTTATCACCTCTTAAAACAACTCCCCAGTCGTCACCTGCAATGGCGCAAAAACAACTGTTGCACACTGTTAAAAGATAGCTGTATATAACAAGATATGTAACATGATCAGCACAACATAATGCCCTTATGTTATACTCACTGGGGAGGTAGTAGTCATTGCGATTCTTGAACGGATGTTGTAGAGCCTTGTTCCTAGGTATCTCACAAGGCTTAGGAGACACTTTTTCAAGTACCTATTATACAACAATCACAATTGCACCAACTATTATAGGAAAACACTATTATAGCTACCCGAAACTGGTTTTCATATTCAGTAAGTTGAGTCTGTGGGTAACGATGACTCATTTCTGTAATTCTTCTGCTGAATAGACTGGCATCAATTTGAGTGTCACCACATGTTACAGCCTCAAGTATAGCATCGTGGATAAACATGTACTGTTCCTGCAAGACAGGAATTGAGAATGCACATTGTTCTGCGAGGTAGTAAGTACTTACCAAGCTCTGGACCATTTTCATTCTCTGTGTGCGGAGGTGGATGATGACACCAGCTATATCCACCACCTTCTCCTCCTCTTGCAGCTGCTCAAGAACACAGTCAATAGTTATCAGAGTCCCTGTCCTACCCACACCAGCACTGTGTAAAGTTTGATAAAGAGCATTCAGTTTCTATGCTTAGTGTATACCTGCAGTGAACAATCATTGGTCCCATTCCTCTCTTGTGATGTTTCTTCACTTTCTTGTGGAAGGCCAGAAGTGAAGTGGCATAGTCAGGCACTCCATGGTCAGGCCAGGCTGTGAAGTGGAACTGAGTCACACTCAGAGCTGGTTCTGAGCTCTCTGACAGCTGAGGAGAGACTCAATATAAAGATGCTTCTACACACCAGCGTGTGCATTACCTGGACACTAAACTCCCGAGTGGTGTAGTCAGCCAGTATCTGTTGTCCTGTGATGGTGACATTGAAGGGACCAAAGGACAGGGTCCCAGTCTCTGGCCAGTACTTGTGACACTTGACAGAACTGGCCTCCACCAGATTGGCCAGCATCACAATGCTCTGAGACCTCTCCTGCCACACCATCCTCCAGAAGTCTACCACTGTCTTTGGCAGTGGCCCTGTGAACCAAAACAATAATTTTCTCTTTTCCGTTGATTATAGCTACTGACCTTGAGTAGCTATAAATTGACGCTTCCTGCAACTCTACAACAGTAAAAAACAAATTTTTAAGTTGTCATGAAGGTATACAGTTTTTTTGCTATATGGGGGAGTCTGTGTGTATGTATATTATTATGCACACAAATTGCTAAGAAGCTTACATCAATATAGCTGGCATTAATGAAGTCTCTCTGGCAATCTGAGTACCCATCAATTGATCCGAGTATGACCCTATTGTAATCATCTTAACGAAGGTATAGAGCCAATAAAAAAATTTAACACAGTTCATCTTATTTCTTACAGACAGTGATGTTTCCAAATCTGTTCAGTTTCCTAAAGTTTTGACTTGTCCCAATGGATTTAGGGAAGTCTGGATCATACTCCTGTATTAACTGAAATAGATTGCTGCACTCATAGATTTGCTTCTGAATAACAACACTATTATAGTCATACAGCAAATTGCTCTTTAAATTCCTTATCTTGCTTGGAGTGACACCGGGCAACATGATCTTCAAATTCAGCAGCATACTGAGGTGGAAGTGGAGCATTCTCCTTGCTCTATGAAAGATATAGCGTTATTGGGCTATCTCGGTATTCCTAACCTCACCTTTGAACTCATCACAGCCTCTTCTGATTTATGCCCTTCATCAGATGCATGCGTCCCAACAGACACTGAAATGAAACAGAGCCAGGGCCACTACAGGTTACTCTAGACCAATGCATTGTTGGCGAGCGAGTGTGATCAGCAGTTCAATATTTCGTGCTTGGTGGCTGTCATGTCACATAATATAGAACATTACTGTATGTGTGGCATCGCCGGATAGAAAAAATCGTTGTTGGCATGACAGGTAGGGTTGCTTTGCTTGCCAATAACAACGTATACTTCCACATGGAGTATTAGCAAAAAAAACTGTTGCTTGAAATGCCACCAAAAAGCTATATACTCATTATCTCAATTATGTGATGCACTTGGTAACAGTTATGAGGCTAACCTGTTTCCAATGGTATAGTGGTAGTAACTTGATTGCTGTCAGTTTCGTTAATGTGTTCAAGTGGATTATGAGCCTTAATCTTGGGAATTATTTTCTTCTTCCTTTGATAAAATCTACATTTATCATCTATATATGAGTATATAGGAACTAACCTGCGTATAATGCATCCCAAGACTACGATGCTGAGCATAAGCACAAACACTGCCGCAATTGATGAGATTGCGATGTATAACAAGTAACTATTTGCTGTACCTGCAGTAACAAACAAGACAGTATTCGCTGTGCATAGCCAACCCTTTGAACTTTTCTATCTTACTTGAC